CAAAACATAGGGACATCACTAATGTAACACTACGCTGGTGTACTTGAATGGCTAAGGGTGGGACATATCTCTAAGCGGTAGACCAATCACAACAGAGCTGGCCAGCTAACCAATCAGAGCAGACCTGGCCGCTCTCGGTTTGCAGACAGAGCCCGTGATAAAGAGGGGCTGCAGCAAACGTGTCACAGTGGAGGCCGTAAATACCAAATAATGAACATGCAAGAGGAGCATAATAGGGCCTCTGCAAAGACTACAACAGAGAGAGACCAGAACACTTTTAGAAAGAAAGGCTGAGTGTGCTGATACTTACAGCGATCATTTGAATTAATGTCTAACATTTATCAGTGGTTTTTACTGGGAATTGCTAACATTTGGCTTTCAATGTAGAGCGCACTATAAGAAGGCAACTTTATCATGACCAAATCGTTCATTTAGTGGGTAGCTACATGTTTCTGTGTGGTAATGGATCAAATACATGTTCTTGATTTTATACCTATACGAATGTGAAGCCTGTGGGTTCATATGGAGAGGGTGTGGCTCTGCTGCATCCAGCCTCCTTGATTGCCTTGATTGCAGTAACTCAGGGCACCTGGGTCTGGTGCTCAGCAGTTATTTAAAGCCTCTGCTCCTCTCTGTCTTCCCTCTGCAGGCACCCCGGTTTTGTTGAGTATGTTATGAGTTTCTTCAGTTGCTTCACTTTGTGCGCTTCAACACTCTCACACACATAATAATAATAATTATTTATTTATTTTATATAGGCGCCTTTCAAGGCTCTCAAGGTAGCCGTACAAACACATCAAAAACAAGACACACAATACATAACACCAGCATAAGAGACATAAACAAGACAATGCAGTATATAAATCAATCAAATAACCAAATAAATAAAAACAGAAGATGTGTGATGGACAATGATCAGGGTGGATATGCGAGTGTGACGTGATTTGAAAATGGGGAGAGAGTCAGTGTTGCGGATGTCAGGTGGGAGGGAGTTCCAGAGGCGGGGTGCAGAGCGGCTGAAGGCTCTAGACCCCATGGTGGTTAAACGGAAGGGGGGTGCAGTGAGGTGGAGGGAAGCAGAAGATCTGAGTGTGCGGATGGGTGTGTTGATGTGCAGGAGGTCGGAGAGGTACAGAGGAGTGAGGTACATACATGTCCATACAATCCTCACCCTGCATTTACACTACTGATACCACTGACATCCACACCTCATACTTTACTTGTTTTGCACTTAATTCATTTGGTTGATTTGAATGTTTTGCTTAAATAAACATATTTTGTTAAACGTGGATATGGTGCGTCTCCTCTTTGTTGTGGCCTTTTGAGCCAGGTCATAACACCAGATAATATGAAAGGGCTCTTTGCTTTTCAACCACAATTTTGACGTTTGACTCTAGCAACATTTTAAGCAACCAGGAAACTCTTAAGTCCTAAGTATAGTTTACAGACCATCCTTTCCTTCAGGCTTAACACAGCCACCGTTTTACCAACAAGTCAAAACTAGCCACTCCACTCGCTGATGTTCTTCAAGCTCATTGCTTTGAGCACGCAGTAACAACGAGGAGAGACTCAGATGAGCATATAATCATTTGTATGACTCAGATCTCCTCTCAGCTGGATTATGCTTGGAGCACCAAAAAAGCCAAGTACGCTGTGCATCCTTTTATCTTAGCACCGCCTTTGAAGAGGAATCTCCCCGGTGATACATGAAAAGTTTATTCATGAGCCCTCTAATTAAATTCATCTGTTTTCTTTGATACATTTTAAATTTGAATCCTGTATTCAGCACATTTAAACCTGACAACCTTTTTGTTTATGAGCTGCATTATTTATTTATTTGTAGCAAACACATTAGTCACCTTTGAGCTGTTTAAAAAAGCCATGTGTTTGACAATTATCTGCCTTCAGAAAACAAGGATAATAAATGTGACTCTCCTTTGAAGAACCTGAACTGAGGACATTTTGCATGGATCTTTTCAAAAGGTGTGTTTGTTTGTTTGTTTGTTTCACAAAGCTTATTTTCACATTTGATTTCTTAAATGTTGCTTTGATGGCGTATTAGCTGTGCTTAACATGTGTCTTTGGTGTTTTTCAGCTTTGTCCACATGAGTTATTATAGACCTGCAGCCTGCATGCATCAATTAGTGTGGAAAACTTGGGAAGTGGTAAAGAGGAGACTATGTTAACATTACATGCTTGCTATCTGTGGGCTTATTGGCACGTATTACAACCAGCCTTTTCCTATTTGTTTTGAACATAACAATATAATGTATTGCCTATGTATAAATCAGGAGCACTTATGGAACAATGTTTTGGGAAATTCCACTGCCTCTGCAGTTATTTGCACATAAGGAAAACAAGATAAGTGATAGTTATGCAATACAAATACCGGTAAATTATCTTACTCACATTTTCCACATCTGTCAGCATTAAAACTACTACTTTAAAACTCTTGAAACACTTTGAAAGAAATGTAAATGTAATCTAGAAGTTGTGTTCATGTAGTTTAAGTGACGATTACAGTCTGCACCCTCTGATATAAATTTGGTTATTTTTGACCCTCTCTACACCGTTTTGGCCAACTGAATATTGAACACTGTCAAGGAGCAGAACTGGCATCAGATATTTGGTCGGATTTGTAAAATTGTTCTCTTCGTTTTTCATCAAATAGTTAATAAACTTCTATATTTTATTGTTATGTTGTGTGTTTAGGCAACCTATACAGTTTGAGTACTAGGGACTTAGTGAAATGACATAAGAGGAATGTGGTGAACACATGTTCATGTCTCTTACTGTAAGGCATCACATTTGTGGTATTGTTTCTAAATCTAAGGTATATAAGAGGCTCTAACAGAGATGGGAGGATAAATGATTGTATTGGGTATTGCAATAAAAACACCAAAAACACTTAAACAATCGACCCTGAGCTGCACCAACAGGCTGTAAATCAGGTGGTGGAGTGGACTGATATCAAAGCTCTTGAGATCAACAACCAGGAAAACTGAGGAAATCGTTTTTGGCTCACCATCTGACTTCCCATAAAGTCCCCATTGTCCATCGCATCAGATGAAATCAAGCAGGGATTTAATACAAATACTTGGGTGTAATGATTGCATCTGCGTCAATTCGGAGGATAACACATTGAATATCTGGTGCAAAAAGGAAAAAACAAGAATTTATTTTCTCCGCCGTCTTAGGTCTTCTGGGGCGAGCCAGAGAAATTCTTCTGTTGTTCTTTACATTTTGATCATGTCTATTCTGCAGAGCGCAATTACTACCCTGGTACAAATGTTTGTCAGCAGCGTTAAAAGCCAAAAAAACTGGCTCCCACCTGTTAAAAATCTGCTCAAAAGATGTTGGTCAACCCTGTCAGAGACTCTATGACTCAGCCAATTCAATAGAGCAACCTAGTGAGGCTGCTCCAACAAGCATAATCTATGACCCAAACGCATGTTCTGAACAGTGAATATGAACTGCGTACCATCTAAATCGGAGATACAGGGTCCCACGATTCGATAAGTCCAGACTGAAGCAGCTCCTTGCGTGCATCAGTCAATGCCTCAAAAGTAAACACATGCTAAATCCCAGATCAAATGGGCACGCTGAAGGTTATTTGAGCATTGTTTTTCTCTCACTGATTGTGCTGTTAGTTGAATGTTTGTTGTTTGTGTTTCATGTAATTAGTGTCGGGATAGCTTTGTCTGTTGATGTTGGACATGGAGCGGCTGTGACGGCAAGTCAAATTTGACGACTTGATCTGACCAAATAAAGTATATCGTATCAATGTATCGTATAACAGGTTGATTGCTTGGCAAATGTCCATTATCAGCCGAGTGAGTGACAAAAGCGTCTAAGGCTTGATATAATGGTAGAAGNGCTACGATAACCAGGTGTATTGTTACTAGTAAAGACAAATAATTAAAAATAAATAATCTGTATTGACACAGCAACGTGTACAATGGTGTTATTAGACTTGGCTACAAGTCTAATAACACCATTGTACACGTTGCTGTGTCAATACAGATTATTTATTTTTAATTATTTGTCTTTACTAGTAACAATACACCTGGTTATCGTAGCAAGCAGTGGAAACTCCCCTCAAGAAGCGACAATTGCCAAGGGCTTGCGTTGCAATGCTCACTTGCCAATATTTCTTTTTTATTACAATATAGGCCTATGTTTAGCCTACTATCATAGATATAGCACGTTTGTTTATTTTAGCAAACCAAGTAGGCTATTCCAAGTAAAATTGAATATAAATGATAATTTATTATCTTTTCGAAAAATAGAGATCGCACATCAGTCCTGTGATAGTCCAGCGACATTTTACGCGATAAATACGGGTTTAAATATCAGCATTTGCCACGGAAGGCGAGTGGCAGCTACCGTAAACCTTCTCTTAACTCTGGCATCTTGTGGCAACTCCCGTTCAGCATGCACAAATGCCACGGCAAGTTGTGGCATCTCTGGCATATACTTGCCACAGATACCACGGAGTAGCGGCCTCTGTGGCAGATGCCGGAAGTACTTGCCACTGCCTGCAGATGCCACGAAATGAGCCAGGCCCTACTGACAAATGTATCTATGAAACAATCTAAACCATCACTTCTCGTTGTATGTGCAGGTACGGGTGAAGTTGTGGCCATCATGATCCCAGAGCCTAAAGGCCGTGAGATTGCTGCCTTGCTGGAGCAGCAGATCAGGGTCACGCTGTCCATCTCCATAGGAACCCGCAACCTGCACAAGTATGTGAGCAGAACGTCGGTGGTGTTTGTCTCCATCTCCTTCATCGTGCTCATGATCATCTCCCTCGCCTGGCTCGTCTTCTACTACATCCAGAGGTTCCGCTACGCTAACGCACGAGACCGCAACCAGGTATGACTGTGTGCACTTTAATCAAGGTATGAAGTGATGTTATTTCAGTAACAGGGATACTGACAGTGCTGTGGTTTTACTCTTGACATTGGCCCGTGCAGTTTTCCATCTGGTTGTGGCTTTAAAGAGAATCCAAAATTAGCCCGACAGCTGGCTGAACAGAGGCGCAGCAAACCAGTGAACCATCAACCAACTCTGCTCTCTGGCCCACTGCAAATACTTTCTATTGCCTTCCCTTTAATATGAATGGCCGCCTCTGACGTTCTTGTGACGTCTGTTATGATAACTCATCAGTGCGTGTGTTGGGGAGACAGCCGCTGCCGTGACAACCATTGTTTGTGTTTTCACCTTGATTTATGTTGATTTTTGTTTTTCGAGAATATTGAACAAGTCTGTTCCTAATTTATTTCCAAGGCAGTACAGTAAGGTAAAACTGTTACAAGTTTATGTTGTGTTTGATTATTACTGGTAAACTTTATCTTACTTACTCGACTTGCCTTATTGTTCTTAAGAGACATCTAATCTCCAGACCGCCCAAAACAACCACTCGTGATATTGTGTTGAATTACCTGATTTATTTTTTGTAATATTATTTTAAAGGTCACGAGTGTACAATAGTAATAATGTACCAATAACACAAATGCGAAGAGGTGAAATTGATGAGAAATTGAAGAGTTACAGGTTATGCTGGATCTTGTCAAATGTCATATTGGGGCACATTCTCCTGTGGTTGCAGTATTTACTTTGTATCAACCCACCAAAGAGATACTGCTGACTGGGTCACTTTCTGTCAATATTATGTTGTCGTGTCAGTAATAATATGTGTTATCTCTTCAGAGACGTTTGGGAGATGCTGCCAAAAAGGCCATCAGTAAGCTGCAAGTACGCACTATAAAGAAAGGAGACAAGGTAGAGTGAGGATCCTACACTGCAAACAGTACATCTCACACACGAATCAAAGCATCTTTTACTATACAGGGAGTCTAAGTCAGCCATTATTTATTTAAACATTTACTAAAGTGTGTTTACCCATGTAGAGGGCATTATACGATAGATATGTTATATAAGCAGTATACTAATAATTGAATTTATATTTATTTTATCTTATCGCATTCTCTGAATTGTTCATTGTCTTTACTGTAAAGCACTTGCTCACATTGCTTTTTAAGAGGCTGTATGATAAACAAATTGTCATTATTTCATTGTTATACTTATTAATTATAGTCATTTTCGTCTTTCCTATTTCTGTGTTTTAGGAGACTGAGTCAGACTTTGACAACTGTGCTGTTTGCATTGAAGGTTATAAGCCTAATGATGTTGTGCGGGTATTACCATGCAGGTAATCTTTGTCTGCTCCAGATTTGTCCTACATACTATAATTTGAAAAACGAAGTCAACATATAACTGCTGATATCTACAGTCATTTGTTTTAATACTTTTATTTTGTGCACTGTGCTTTGTTTTGCTAGGCATGTTTTCCATAAGCACTGTGTAGACCCGTGGCTACAAGACCACCGGACATGTCCCATGTGTAAAATGAACATCCTTAAAGCCTTGGGAATCCTGGTAAGGTCCTTTTTTAAAATTTATTCTTTTGTGTGTTTTTCTCAAATGGTTTGCACTGCTCTTATTTCTGATATCAAGACTAATCTAACTCCAATGTGCAACACATACAAAAGAGATGGACCCACCTAGTCTCTAAAGAGTTCTGTACACGTTCCAGCTCAACGCAGACTGCACAGATGACGTTCCTCCAGACTACGAGACATCTGTCGGGGGTCCGCCCACCAACGCCATCAGTGGGGAGAGTGAGATCACGTTTAACGAGAGCTCGGTGGTTCTGGATCCAGCCGGCGGGGGGATCGGCTTCCAGCAGCTCCACCCTGATGAAGAGACAGAGCCTCAGGCAGCGGAAAGCCACATCATCACCGGCGGTAAGCACAGACATCACACATTTTTAATATAGAGGAAATGACCTGACAGACAGGGAAAAGGGATTTTTGTAGAATTTAATTGCAGAAAAAGCTTTCACCACATGCTCTACACGTCTGTCTATTTCTTTGTCTCTCCATTATTCACTTTAGTCATCAAGAGTACTTAAAGGATTTAGCTCAATTTAAACTAATGCACCAGCAGCACTTACAATGATATGGCTTATTGGCAAGTGTACCTGCAGGTTTCTTGCTTTTCTGAGTTTGTATCTTCATAGTTTATTGCAACTCACTTTGGATAAAAATGTTAGCTAAATAAAATGCAATTAGTTAAAGCAGTGAGTTTGCCCCATTAGACTATTACCAGATTTCTGCTATGTCCTGCACTTGTAATATAAGTAAATATGCCAAAAGATACAGATGAGTCAAGTGTTGTTACCATTCATGCCCCGGAGGAGAGTATCTTTCCTACAGTGTGGTGTTTCAGGTTTCATTCCCCCATGTTTGTAATCTGAGGGTTGAAATGTTTTTTTTCTGAGCCTAAATCAGGCCAGCAGCCACCTGGTCAGTGTTCCCCATTTTAGATCCTCCTGGGAAACAAAGGAGGGTAAGAATAGTTTCCCAATGCCAGAAAGCCACAGTCTACGCTACTTACACTCAAATATTCGTCATGTTAACATATGTTGTACATTATAGCCCTTCATGCCAACGCCTAAGGGCTGTTCATTTAAATAACGACTGTAACTACGCAAATTTCCCCTCCGTGGGACTAATGAAGGTATTCTGATTCTGATCTGATTCTGATTAAACATGTGCAAGCTATCAGCACTTTAATACATGCACATGCAAATACTAAAACATTGTACTTATTGTATTCACACCTGTTCTATTACTGGATAAAGGGGCCCTATTATGCTCATTATCACGTTTGAAACCAGAAACAGACACAGGGGTCTGCTCTGATTGGTTAGCTGGCTCTGTTGTGATTGGTCAACCGCTTAGAGGTGTCGCGCCCCTTAGCTTATCACGTACAATGTTTGAGAACGCTAGCCAATAGAAGCGCGTGTCTTACATAGTGATGTCACAATGTTCTTGAAGTAAACAAAGGAATCCAGTGGAGGCTTTCAGGAAGGGGGGTAGGTGTGTGGGAGGGATGGGATGTTAGCCTTTGCCGACCATTAACCTGCAGTAAAACATAACATACTACAGGAGATGGGAAAACCCCAAAAGGCATAAGGACCCCTTTAAAGGTTTTTAATTATTAGCTTATTTACATATAAAAACATATAAAAATAGCCCAAAAAATACATATTTAGAAGATAAAGGTATCATTTTTATGCTAAATCAGTAAATCTATTAAACAAGAAATGTATGGAGCGAACATGACTTTAATGCGACTTGTGCTTTAAATTGTACATTTTTTTCCTGGTCTATTCAGCTTTATGTAACTACACTTCCCAGTGGTTTTTATTGTTGTTCCTGCAGTTTTTTACAACTCATTGGTCTGGTTACTCTCAATGTAGGGTTTATTTAGCACTTTTATACAGTGTTTAAAGACCTGGAGGAGCAGAGTGGAACCGAAGATGAAGTGTGAGGAACTTGTGCCAAAAGTCCCACAGCTCAACACGTCAGACTGGATCCTACACTTCCAGGGAAAACTAAATAAACACAAACAGTTTTTGTGTTAGAAGACGTAATCTCCCCCTAGTGAGAAACTGACACATGATATGCCTACCACACACCTTCTTAATATCACTAGAAAGTAAACAGTAAAAAAAAAACACTTCTCACATGGGTTTACAGCATAGCCTGAAGCCCTGTTTAGACACATTTAGATTTGAAGTCAATTTGTCAGAGTGACTTTCTTTTAAAGGATTTATTGAAATCAGCTATAGTTGTTATAATGCTTGCGCCATTAAGTTGAAAAGTAGAAACTATTTGACTCAATAATAGTTGGTTGTATCCCTAGTTATACATTTTAACTTCAACATGATGTGAATATTGTGTTCCTGCTTTAAGATCAGATAAATTGTCTTTTTTTTTTATGCGTTGGCACCATTTAAGACAAAAATAAGTCAAGTATTTATCAAGCTAAAGACCAAACATTAACAAAAACATGTCAATGTGATGGAGTCATTTCCAATGTGCCCTTAAGTGACTTTTTGCCAAAGCACTCAGAAGAAGGTGGTAACACAAAGATTAATGTTTACCTTTTATGATTGACAAGCAATAGATCAGCTTTCCTAAGGCAGCTTTTCCTAATTAGTATGTAAATCAGATGCAATTTGTCACAATGTCCCTGACAGGCAGTTAGCATGAGATGAACAAGCCGGTCCGTCAGGATTTCAGCGGCGGCTTGTTGGCAGTAATGGAGGGCGGATTGTGTTGCGTCCTTAGCCTGAATAATGAGCGCTGTCTGTGAAGGTATTGCAGCCATCATTCTTTCCAAAGTCAGCCACTTACTGGGCGTGTGCGGCCATTAGTGTCCCACAAAGAGACCTGATTTATTGCTGGAACATGGGGAAACATTTGTATCGACACAAAGAATTCAACTTTCTATCCTCATTCTTCTAAGGACATGATAATGAATTTTTCTCAATCTCTCCCCCCTCAGGTTGGCACCAGGCTCCGATCAGCAGTGACTCAGACTCGTCTTTCACGACAGGTGTGGAGGTAGACATGTCTGAAGTACACCTGTCCACAGAGCATGAATGTGACCCGGCCAAATCCTGAAAAACGCACAAATCAGCAGGACAAAGTGACCAGGGGCCCGTCAGAGATTCGCCACCTCTCGGGCCCCTAGAGGACTTCTCAGATGATGAGCTCTACAAAACAGCAGCACAAAAACACCCATTTCTGTCTTTATTGACCATGAAAAAACAATATTTGTCCCTGCATCTGTGGACGTGTTGCTTGCTAGTTTTCTAGCAGTAACCACTCACTGTTTTGTCGGTTTGACTGCCATGACGACCAGACAGCCAATCACAGCTCTCCCATTGTGGTGCCCCAACATGTTCACATCCTTAAACCAAGCATCTGAAATACACTTAAAACAAGTGCTCAGATTTTGAACCTCAGTACTGAGTTGACCAGTACTGAGAAGTTAAAATGTGTTTCTCTTCATTCCTTCAACCTGCACTGGAGCATTCAGGACTACTTAATGCAAGATAGCAGTTTTAATTATTATAAGAAGTGTGTGCAGATTGTTTGATTTTTTGGTATGGGATCACTGCCAAAATATTCCAGAAGTAAATGTTACTGATGTAATCAATATGGAGCATATAGGGTCTAATGTATTCCCTAACACTCCATGTGATTTTCAACCAGATTTCAACCACAGACTTAGGTACATGTTTTCATCCCTAAAAAAAAAACTTTAAGCATGGGTCTTTAAGTTCAGTGGTCATTGGACATTTCAGAAGTTGGAATATGTATGCACATGTTAAGCTGTAATTTCTAAACTGTTTCTATTTGTGTAAGACTTTCATTTACGTCTCCTATTCAACCAACTGCATATTCCTGCTGTTGAGAGGAAATCAACAAACACATGGTAGATGTTTCTGTCCTCACATTTGACAATCGTAGCTTGCCACAAGCAGTTTGAAGTGATGTCACCCACGGCCCTACTGAAACTGCTGCTGATTAACACGTTATCAAAACACATGACGACGGTGACCTTTCCCTGCTGTCAGTCAGGAGGGATGCTGTGTTCACACTGCTGCTAAATACAGCTGCCGATACTGCTGCCACTACCAAACTCCTGGCAGCGTGCTGATATTTTAGACAAACTTCCTACACTTGTGAAACCAGCCAATATAAATATGTCAACAAGTCTTTGTGCCAAGATTATAGTAAATTGTTGTTATTTCCCTGGCTGTGAAACAGATTGGAATAGCATCATGATATGAAATAACTTTGTACCTTCTGTTGAGTTAAAGGAGACTGGTTTGGTGAAAAGGATGAAGCTATGCATTACCCGACAGATCAAATGCATTTGGGTGCATGTTCAGGGTTTTCATATAAACATGTAAAGCTCCAAGCATGGGATTGTTTATGGCATGAAAAGATAACAGCATGAAAATGTTAGCTGAGAAGTTTCGTTGGGAGTAGGTCCACACTATACCGGCTAATTCCGCAGCCACAGCAAATATCTGCACTCCTCCTGAATAGGAAATTGGTCAACACACAAGAAAACTGCATCACACTGCAGGACCTCAGTTGGTTAAACTCCTGTTTTGTGCTGAGAAATGTATAAACTAAAATACAGGTTAGTGAGAACAGATATGGTAATTGCTATATTGACATATACAAAAAGTTGCTTGTATTGACAAACCTGCAGTCAAACACCAGCTTAGTGTGGACAGTGGGCCAACACAGAGAAATTAAGGTTTAAATCTTGCTGGCTGAGTGTGGACGTAAACTTAAACTCCTATGGCTCTGGGGACTGTTACTTCACACTCACCTTTACCGTTTCTGGTAATATTAATTCTCCTACTATTGCTTTTGTTGTTCTGTAGTCATCCTGTATATCACCTTCTTAGTATTCAGTTATTGAACAAGGTCAGTAGGATCTAATTGTCTGTTGGATCTGTTTCCTCTCACATTCCTGCACTCTGAAAAGCACAGACTCGTATGACTGAGTCCGTGTAGCCAGTGGAATCTAACGTTGTGTTTTTTACTTCAAGCCATTGTTTCCATTACTGTTTGTCCTACAGCCACCTGGGACACTGTTACATAACAAGCACATCTCCTGTTCCCCCTTTTGAAGGATTATTGAATGTATGGCCAAATGTGTAAGTGCTCCATGAAGGCTTTCTTTTTATAAGTGCACATTTGAATTCACATTCTTTATTCCTTTAAGTGTTTTGTTAGACTTTATGCTCTTGGTTCTAGACGTTTATACCCATAGACAGGTTAAAATATGTAGTTTCTTACAGCAGTGATTCACTGTGAAGTGCTGCCTTGCAGGAAGCATTTATGAATGTACATTTTCATACACTATATCTTATAAACAATGCGGTTGGTTTGACAGAAAGCTCTTTTTATGTTTAGATATATATATTTTGCTTTGAGGATATGAAGGAGGTGGATGGTTGTGGTTCTTGCCAATACGTCTGAGATACAGATGTTTAAGTCTCAGCCGGCCTAATCTAGACCTTTTAAGCCTCTATATTTCACATCATGGATAATGAGACGGCACAATACATAAGATTACTCAGAAGCACTTTCAGATGTCTGTTGTCCTCCTTGCTTTTCTTTTTTCACTTTTCATTTCTTTTGTCATCTTGTCTTTGTTTTATGTTGAAACACAAACACTCTGTCTCTGCGACAAGATAAAGTAATGCACACAGCAGTGTTTAGTGTTAGAGCCAGATCTCTGGACTCTGGCTCTACTGCCTACAGAGGGAATTTGCCTCACGATAAATGTGAAGATTATATGAGTAAACTATAAGGTAATCATTGATTTTTGTCGGATAACAGTGTTTAAAAAAAAAACTCTTGAAGGAATAAATACAATTCAAATTATTTTTTAAATACAAAAGACATTGGTGTACTCCATGTAATGGCATCCAGGTTTCCTGACAAGTTTGGTGCTAATTTGGAAGATTCTTTTTAAAGCAAAGTTCAACCAAAATATATGGTATATGGTATGGGTTACGGTATTCTCCCTATTTTTTTATTTTGTATGTATTCATTGTAATTGTTTATCTGACAGGGACTATAGTCAGTTTTCCTAAAAGCCAGATGTGAAAAAAGGCACCCCAAAAATGAAATTACAACATATTAATATGCACAAAACATTACAGTATACTATTACACAAGGAAGTTTGGTACAATGAATACTAGATGGCTAAGAGAACAGCAACATATTCAATTATATGCTGGCCTGTTGATATCTATTTCTATTTATTTCAACACTTCATCTACTGATACTGACCACAAGTCTCACTTTGATTACACTAGCAAATAATTTGTATGAATTACTTTTAAAAGAATGTACCAATTGATCAGTGCCTCTATTTTCTATTGAATTAGTAGCCAACCAAATTATCTCCTTTACAAGAAAGATTTCTTTAAAATAAGGCATGATCCAACATGGTTTTATAATCAAAGCTATCACGTATTTGATTTCGTTCTTATGTGTATTCTTCTCTCTGTGTAAACTTTCCTATACTTTCCTATATTGCACTTTAACCCTCCAGTGAATGAGAGGAGCGGCTATATACTGAACGACTTCAGAAAGTATTTTTAATGGACAGCTTTTGAGAAAGAGGGCTACAGTATTGAACATGGCACAAGTCTCAGCTGTCGCTTCTTATATAATGTTGTGACCTTTTCTCTGTACTATTGTGTGTGTATGTGGGTGTGGGTGTGTGTGTGTGTGTGTGTGGGGGGGTGTGTGTGTGTGTGTGTGTCTCTCTCGGGGGGGGGTGTAGGGGGGAGTATCAACATATTGTACACTATACCTGGCAGAAATAACGGCATTGCTATTTTGTGATATAAAATAATTGTAAATATGATGAGCGGTGTCTCTGTCCTCTTCTTGTAGCTTGACAGCAGCCTATATCTATATATATTCCTGTAGCATAGTGAGACTGTATAATACTCAATCACGTTGTAGTGTGTAAGATATATGATATATAGATAAATAAATTGCAAGATGCAAAGAGATGAATGTTTATGGAGGCACTTTTACAGAGCTCAGGTGTTTTAATAGTCTTATGGCCTGTGGAATGAAACTGTCCCTGAGTCTGGTGGTTTCTGTCCTGATGCTGCGGTACCGCAGCATCCGGTTTGTTGCTGGGGGTGATGGGGGTCTTTTATAATCCTGTGGGCTTTCTTCCTGAGCCGCTGGGAGTAGAGGTCCTCCATGGATGGCAGCTCCGTCCTCGTGATGTGCTGTGCAGTTTTCGCCACCCTCTGTAGATTCTTATGGTAGTGAGGGTGGTGCCATACCAGGCCGTGATACACCAGGTCAGGATTCTCTCTATGGTGCACCTGTAGAAGGTCAGGATGCTCTCTATAGGCGCGTTCACAACGGAGTACTTTTCCCCGTACTTTTCCCGTTTAGTTCCGTTAGTACCACTGATGTCGCGTTCACAGCAAAAAGAGTATTTAGTTCCTGGAACTTTTACCCCCATTTCCAGTGCCTGCTAGAGAGGTGGTACCAAAAAAGTACCAATTTCTATTGGCTGGGCGAATTGCAAACCACGACCCGTAAAACTCCTAAAAAGTTTGGTGAAGCCGCCATTTTATTATCCTCGCATTAGCATTATTAGCATTATCATTAGCCCAGCGCTGAAACGCACAAGTGCTCCAATCTTGTAACGTAGACAAAACTGACAAACACAAAGACAACACACACAAACATGACCTCGCACCATGTTGATTCTTGTGCAGTCTTTATGACTATTGCAAACTTTCAGGAGAGGCTCTATGGCAGGGGTCTGCACATTTTTTGACCAAAAGAGCAATTTTGCCCCCTTTTCCACACATATCTTTTGGAAAAAAAAAATAATAGTTATTTAAAAAAGTTTGCAATAGTCATAAAGACCATTAAAAATGTAGGCACAACCTTTTTAAAAGCGTGTGCTACATTTTCACTGACACTGATGAAGACATCCCATTCTTTTAAGCTTTTAAAATGTCATCAACTATGCAGACTGTGATGACATCATCGGCAATGACATCATCGGCAACGTCATGCAGAATGCGATGACATCATCGGTGACATCACAGAGCCTCTCCAGAAAGTTTGCAAATAGATCCCCCGTTCCTCCACAGAGTTTACGTTTTTTGACGATGCCAAGCAAACGCAGACAAGCCGCTCGCCCCGTGCGCAGACGCAGGAGACCTCAGAAGAAGTCCCTGGCTGCTCGCAGACGCAAGAGAGTGGTCCGACGCAGACGCTAAGCAACGACAGGAAACATGTAGTACAAGCTTTTAAAAAGGTTGTCCCTTTTTAAAAGCTTGTGCTACATTTTTAATGGTCCTTTTGACTATTGCAAACTTTCAGGTTGAGGAGATCTGCAAGCTTTTTGACCAAAGGAGCCACAACCCTTTTCACAAAATGTTTTGAAAATAAAAAATATATATATATTATTTTAAAAAGTTTGCAATAGTCAAAAGGACCATTAAAAATGTAGCACAAGCCATTAAAAAGGAAAACCTTTATAAAATATTTTACTACATGTTTCCTGTCGTTGCTTTGAAAACTATATTTTTTTATTATTATTTTATTATTATTTTAAGTTTGCAATAGTTTAAAAAAATGTTTGTGAAAAAGGAATTTCTTGAATCTCATGTACATTTTAGATATATTTATTAGGTCTTCAACTGATGATTATTTTGACTTGACGATGAATCTGAAACAAATGTTTCATTTTATTTTAGGAATAAGACCTGCTCATTATGTAGATATGAAGCACTCATTATATTGTGCTGAACACACATTTTAGGTGATTTTGCACTGT